ACTGCTGTTGATGGATCGTTGATGGATGACTGCTGTTGATGGATCGTTGATGGATGACTGCTGTTGATGGATCGTTGATGGATGACTGCCTTTGATGAACCATTGATGGATGACTGCCTTTGATAGACCGTTGATGGATGACTGCCATCATCAAGGTCAAAGCTGTTCTGAGTGTACTCCTGCTTCTGGCTGGTGTCCAGTGAAACATGCCTCAGTCCTCTGGTTAACCCACATTCTTTAAGATAAAGTAACTAATGCCACCTGGCTCCTTTCCTTAAACTAGCCTGTCTTACCAGAACCTTAAAGTACCTGCACATGTTCTGGTTGATTCGACATCTAACGCCTGATGTTTGCTCTTTCTAAAATCTTGTATTTAATAATTTATTAGCTGTCCAATTGTTGTCACAGTAGCGAATTAGATGTGTTTCCATCAACTGGCTTGAAGCGAATCAGTTACGTCAGACGCATGTGTTTAGTAAACAGGAAGTAAAAGTCGCATCTCAGGAAAATGGAGAGAAGTTATCAGGAACGTGTTGCTACTATCAGGAAGTTTTAACTATTCTGTCATCAACTAGTTTTGGTGATTTTATGTGCTGTCTGGAGACGTAGAGGAAGAAATGCAATTCTTTTCATGTTACGGGATTAACTGAGAAAACACCGACAGCAGGAAGAGGGTCCAGCTGCGAGTCACGGCTGGACCCTCGCAGCTGGAGTCCCTCACGGCTGGAGTCACTCGCTCTGGTACCGGACCAGTTTCGGACAGACAGCGGGAAAAGCTGATCAACACGTGAGGTAAATGTTCGCTACGTCAGACATGATTTGATAAATGTGTTTCCATCTCCTTTTTGCGCATGAACTCTTTTTTTTGAAAAACCCAAAAACCACCTCAGGCGAGCGTATCAACTTTGATGTGAATTAAAGGAAGTTTTTTCAAATCAAGCCGTTTCCATCCACCTTTTCTGATGTGATACTTCAACATGTGCATTAAAAACCTTGATGGAAACACGACTAGTGAAGTTGTTCACTCAGGATTTGTGTGACTGATGTAAATTAATGATCTTGTTTGTTGCTGTATCAAATCAGATTCACTGAGTTAACTCACGAATTGTGACGTTTCACAACATTCACACTACTGGGATCGTTTTTCTTCTGTATGTTTCTCAGCATCTAACTCCTTCAACAATTGTTGTGCTATTTCAACAATTCATATGTCAAAACGTTCAGCTCATTTATGCCAAGGCTGCTATGACTTTTGGTTTTTCAGCTACTCAATCTTTTTCAGCTACTTCACTTTTTTCGGCCACTTTTATCCCATTGAAAATGAATGAAGCTGAATTCAACATCCTTAAAAACCTTCAAAATGTTTCTAAATCTTTACAACACCAGCTAAAATTCAGCTTCTTTCTGCATTTCTTATACTTTTTTCTACTTTTTCAGCTACGTTGTGCTGTTTATGCTTATTACAGATGCTTTTTTCTATATTCAGCTATTTTCTGCATTTTTAGCTAAAGTTCAGATGTTATTAAAGTTAGCTGTTTTAAGCTAAATACAGTTTTTTAGCCATTACAACTTATTTCTGCTAAGTTCAGCAAACTTGTGCTTCTTATGCTTCTTTATGCTAATTTTAAAAAATTCCAGCTACATTTTAGCTGTTTTACTGAAAATTTTGCCTGTTTTAGCTATTTATTTCAAAAATTCAACTTTTACTACTTTTATGCTTTTTTCTGCAAATTTAAAGCTTTTTATAGCATTTTCACTATCTGGGTCACTATCTGGGTCTCAGCTCTCAGCTTTTCAAAGTGAGCTCACATTTAATATTGTCAATATTAAATATTTTAAAGACTTTTGCTGTTAAATATTTTCATCTTTAGTTTCCAGCAGGAAGAGTTCACACCAGTGTTCCCACAGGAAATGTAATTTATCTAGTTGAGTTTATTTACTCTTTTCTTAATAAGCCTTGGTAAATAATGTCCTTATAACCTTGGTTTTAAGAGGTGTCAGAACTACCATTAATAATTTGTCTTTGTACCAAATATTAAGTGGAAGTTTCTGCATCTTATTTTGTAAAGTGACACCACACTTTGAACGGTTTGGCTTTCAACAACTCGACTAATATACAGTATATTAACTGTTAACTACAGCAGCACCTGTTAGCCCCTCTCCATGAACTCGGTTCTACTCGATTGACTTTGAGTCGGGTCGGTTCTGCTCAGTGTCCGTGTGTCTCCACGCAGTGTGTCCCTCACTCTGTGGGTGTGATAATGTACGGACCATCCTCAGCGG